GGGGGGGGGGGGGGGGGGGGGAGGGGGAGAAGGTGCGTGTGTGTGTCTGTTTTTGTGCGTTTCTATTTGTATGTTGAATTTTTTGTCCAGATTTTTCATGTCCAAATACGCAAAAATCTGGAAAACGTGCATCTTTGTTGTTTCACTGGGTAAAACTGCAAACTGCACAAAAGGCATGATCGCACCGACTAATTTGATGCACTCTTCTATTCATTCAAATTTGTAATACCGTATCAGTCTGTGTCTGTCTGTGCTAATTTGCTTCTGATACTATAATTTATTTGCTTTGGTCAGTGGTCAATTGTCGCTGTTTTTTCTTTTTCACGTCGTTTAATGCACCGTTACTTGCACTTTGTTCTGAGTTTGCTACATTCGTATAATTTTACATAGATGCTGAAATGGTTTACATTAACCTGGATAATACTTGCATGAAATATGCGCTGGGAGCCGGGCTCTTCTGCTTCAAAATAACTTGCTAGCGATGATTTTCTTTTTATTAAAAATACTCAAACTTGCTTTTGAAATTGATTTAATTGTTTTGCATTTGCTAAAAAACTTAAGAAATTTGTTTGAATCAACTTTCTGATTATTACTAGTATCTAAATCAGTTGGATGAAAAATTCTTAATTTACCACGCAATGGGACGAGAACTTTGCCGGAAAAAAACTTTCGTTCGATGAGTATTTTTTATGATTCTTACGGAGAGGGACGTGTGTTCATTAACCGGAGCATCCTAAAGCTATTTTCTGGATCACATAGAGAGCTGGTATCAATTCAGACCACAAAAGATAGGAGATGCTTCACATGGTAACTTAGATCTCTGATCGTGATTTTAATGGATTTTGAGCTTTTTACTGCATCGGGATATTAGCTTTTTGCTTCCACTTCCTTCCCAGTCTTGGGCCTGATGTGTAGGTACAGTGTATTCCCTGCAGCCAGAGTAATACCGACCTCACCTTCCCTCTGCCCCTTCTTTTTCCCATTCTTCTTCCTTCCCCTCGTCCCCATTGAATATTCAGAAGAACTGGATATTTCGGTGAATTTTCTTGGATGAAACTCCATAGGTCCCTGAAAATAAAATCATTCCTAGCATGAAATTTTTGTAGAATCGAATCCGGCAACCGCGCTATTTCCAATGCTTCCAACATCAGCAAGTGAAAATTCAACAGCGCCAATAACCTCAGTCGCTACTGTAGCAGCAACAACGACAACCAGTACGAAGACGACGACGGTAACGAATTCAGAAGGGCCAACCACAACTAAGCATCAGCCGGGTCGTCCAAGAATCACCGGTCCTCCACTACGTAAACCTCGACCACAAACTAAAAAACCGGAGTACAAGACTCGACCTGGCGCAGGAGTATGTCCAGCTGGGAATCACGTGGTTCGCGATAAGACGACAAATTACTTGATCGTTTGTAACGGTGAGAAACCGGTGTGCCCACCGCGTTCATATTGCTATGTGACCGGATATGCTGACGAAGAGTACAACTGCTGTAGTGCCTGAATTTGTTAATTTTGTTAGTTGTCAAAAAACGCTTTTGCTGTGCAAATAAGGTGTAAATGTAGCTTACTGAGCAAATAAAACCGCTCCTACGCAAATAAGAACCAGCGGATTAATTCGATTAGAGTGAGCTACTGTGCAGATAAACATATCGTTATTTGCGCAGCAAAAATGTTTTTTGAGGGAGAGTTGCTGGAGGGATCGAGGAAAGAGGACAAGAAGTGGGGAAATTTTGCTTCCAAGAAGTCATTTTTTTTAGATTTTGTGCGAAACATGCTGCTCCTGTCTTTTAAGATATCCGACGAAGGATTTGCGAGAAATTACTAAATCGGTAAGAGATAATTGCTGCAAGCCCTTCTGATATTCTTGGTTAGAATACTCACGCATGGAATAATGAAATAGGAT